TATATCGTACATCGTTTTTTGTCCCATCCAACTCACTAGATGCTGTCTCTTGTCAGGCCCTCCGTGCTGCACCACTGACAAGGGGAACCACTCTATAAAAACACAATGAACTTTCACTACCAACACCAGGATCGAACACAAGCCACTGCAGCTCCACCCATGACATGAAATCGTGTTTAACATCTTCTAATGTTGTTTTCTACACCAACCAGATACAGCCTTTTATATACATTTATTATAAGGACACCTTTCGATTTGAATGAAAATAAATGCCCAATCATAATTAGATTTGATGTATGAATAAAAATTTACTGATTTGTGTCTTCAGGCCTGGAAATAACGGTTTTAGATGTACCTGACAAAATGTCAGGCACTAATGAAATAGTACCTGACATTTCCAACTTAGTGCCGGACATGTATTAATAATATCAATAAAAAAGACAAATCAGTGCCGGACAAAATGACAGGCACCAGAGGTTTTGTGCCTGACAAAGCCAGAATCTGTGCCTGACATTGTTCGTGACAGGTGCCTTATTTCTAGGCGTCATTATTTGTCTATATCAGCAGTTCTCTCTCAGGAGACCCAGGTTTCCTCAATTCCTCCCCCAATCTGATTAAAACACAGATCCTATTTCATTTCGTTTTTTATAGTTCAAACTTTCATTTTACTTGTCTTTACTACACTAGGATCCGTATTCTGGATGATGTGAGGGATTAGCCAATGAAAGTCTGTTACGGCGAGTTTTTGACCACTAGAAACGTTAACGCTGATTGATTAATCAATGTCTGACATCATACGGTCAAAACCCACTCGTATGACACCTGACGCAACCTTCCACTACAACTGGTCAGATCTTTATGTGGTGTAAGCCATCAAAAGTATAAAATAATGAAACAAAATATAGATCTGTATTTTAATCACATTGTACCTCCCCCATTTTTAATTGTTTTTTCACATTCACAGATGATCATCAATATTTGGTATCTTCAGACATTACAGACTCTACAATCATACATGTATTTTAAATGAAACAATAAAACTAAAACTTACTTGAAGATAAATATATGTCATCATATAATTCAAAGTAAATTACAATACATTAAAAAAAACACCTGTCTTCATTCCCTCATCTTTACAGTTTGTACACATACATTTGTTTTTTATAGACAGGTAGAGAATTTATTCCAGAATATTAAAAGCAATAGTCTTCATTTTAATATATTATCAACAAGTAACCATGTAGTATAGAATATCATCAATGTCTATTTTCTGTGATTTTTGATTGTTATTATATCGTACTGACACATGAATTACGATTTTATGCTTTTAAAAATTTCAATCCGCCCAAAAATACTTAGCCTGAGGCTTTGATGAAATATGCATGTAGGCCTACATGTATGTATAACCAAGCAACTAAACTCTTGTAGAATTTAATTTAATAAAATGTCTATGTAAATAAACAACAATATATAAGTTTATGATTGAGCATGCCCTTCAATCAGCCTTACAAACTATATGGGTATATATATATATATAATAATGTAACGAGAGTTATCTTATAGAAAGGTACATCAGGTAAAAATGACTATTTTAATCAATGATAGAAATGAGAAGGGATCACCTGAGAATATTTAACATGATGACATCACATAAGATCAAATTCCAAGTTCATTATCTGTGTTTAAGATATTATACAAACATGATTGAAAGTTGTTCATGTAGTACACTTATATATTCTATTACAAAAGCCCAACAGACCGTCAAAACTATCTTTTAGGATTGTTTGACACATGGGATTTTAATAATCCTGCTTTAATTGTATTGTATTTCTGTTCAATATTCAAGCGTGGGAACGATCCAATTCTTATTCTTAAGTGATTGCGTAAGTCAATTCATTCAGACACATATATAGCTTTTGCATACATACATATATATGTTTATGTATAGTTTAAAGAGGTATTCAAGAGTTAAATCTGCCTATTGCAGGTAACTGAATTCTTTCAGATACGAAATGAAATGAAATGGGGTTTAACATCCTACTGTTCTGCTCCTTTACTGGGCTAATGAAGACGGGCATACGCCATACAGTGTGCTATGAGGGAAATTTTGCCCGGGCAGCGGCACTATCGCCTACTCTTATATATCGAATTCCAACTGCCAAGGGATCTTTCACGTGCATTCCAATGTATACACGGGACCTTGGTTTTCCGTGTCATCCGAAGGACTAGACAGCTGTCCTTGTCAGGCCCTCCGTTCTGCACCACTGACAAGAGGAAACCACGTTGGAAAATCTGGATGAACTTTTTCGGCTAATGCAGGGATCGAACACCCGACCTCCAGGCTAGCGAGCCAGCGTATAAACCACCTAGCCACCGTGGCTACATCTTTCAGATACAGTACATTGTACATGTAGCTTTTACATTCATACAGTGTATGTGTAGTTTTAAAGTGGCATTATTCAAGAGTTAAATCTGCCTATTGCAGAGAGAGAGAGAGAGAGAGAAACGGGGTTTAACATCCACTCTACACACACACTTGGTCATTTCGGGACTAACACATGGTTCAGTTATATTTAAATAATTCGCTTGCGTGTAGGTGTCTTTAGCAGTGGGAGGAAACCAGAGGATCCGGAGAAAACCCACGAGGCTGGACAGTTCTTGGCTTGAAGTACTACATGTAATGTATACATGTAAAACATTATTTTGATATTTATTCATATGATAAGCCCATAATCAACTCTCTAGATCATAGATGGCTGAGATATTGAATGGATTAGATGATGTCTGTTATAGCTTTAATATGGACGCCACTCACAGATGTTGCCAATTGAAAGACTCAAGACTTCATCTATTATCATGGAAAGATACTTGAATATCGAGACAATTTAGTTTATTTCTTGTCAAAACTTTAAACACTCTTAACTTCGCTCAGCATCAATGTATTCATTTCTTATTAGCTATTTTTGAACTATTATAGCAAGAATGATCAGCTTTTCATCTAAACCTTACATAATGTATCTTTAAAGTAAAGTACTTCTAAGTAGATAAATGACATGTACTTTAAAATTTACTGAACATGAATTCATAACAAAACAAAAATTACATCCAACGTCCACTTAATATCAGTATACCAGCTTTTAATAGGTCCACAGCTGTACATGTATATATTTCGTCCGAGCATGAAGCACAATAGACTTTGCCACTCCTTCTAGCTAAATGTAGACCACTAAAAATCACAGAAAAAGAGACACCTGTTTGTCTCATTGAAAGAATCTTAGTACATATTTCATGAAAAGTGCACTGTTACAATGCAATATGGTTTTTCGATATCGCAAAATGCTATCAAAACAGATTTTAAATGACAAACTTCCTCTTAATACACAGTTAAAGATGCATTATGTAAGATTTAGATAAAGAACTGTCCGTTCTTGCTTTAATAGTTCAAAAATCGGAATAGAGGGGTGACGGCAATTACACTCCCTTAAAAGAATAATTCTAACATTGGCTGGACCAGCGGATAGTTCTGTGTAGCTAGATGCTGGATCAGTCGTCGATGCCGGCGGAGAGAGTACAGTAATAGATATTTAAGATTTAATGAAGAGTGTCTTATTTTTAACCGAAACGTTATGATGATGAAAAAAAAAACACCTCTCATCTAACCTGAAGTCAGTTTTTGTACAGCTGTTGTGCAGGGATTTTTAAATATCTCGTTAAAAAAAATAGATACTAAAAAATGAATAATTATTGAAAATTTCATTCAAAAAACTTTATTCTGGGTGTGAAGTTATGAATTTCTGAAGATGAAACATAGATCAATTATTTTTGTAGTAGGAGTACTTAATAACCGAGACTAATCTTTAGATAAATGGGTCCAGTTTGTGAAACTGAAAGTGATATAAATCATGCTATATCATCTGCTGATCAAAGACTACAAATCGCAACTTAATTCATACTGTACTGTGGCCAACATATCGTTTCAACTCTGTACATCTTATCAAGCCCTTCATGTAATACCCTGCATATCTGGTCACTAATTTCGATTGGCTACTGACCCAGCTGGGGACCTCTCAGATTCCGCAATAGAAAAAATCATCGCGAATACCAAGTCTAATACTTTCCAGCTAAAATGCCTGCCTGTGATAATCGAGTTGCAAAGTTCAAGATTCATTCAATGGCAAGGTTTCCATGGAGGTTGCCATGTTTGATTTGAGTATGTTTGTGTCACAACCTCTAGACAATACACTTGTACATGTGTTGGTGGTAAAGGCCAAGGGAAATACCATATAAATTCAGGAATTTCAGACTAATGTAGCAAGGGCTAGATGTTGTACAACTCATGGTCATTGCTTCAGGAACATTTGTGGCCCAGTGAGTGGTCCAGAGCAGAGTTTGATCCCAGTTTTCAAATTTTTAATATCTAATAAATTTGTCTACTTCCCATCAAAAATCCACATCAATGTAGCGTATTCAGACTATGACAATACTAAAATTGCCTTAATAGGCCTATCATTTAAAATTTACATCCATATCAAATTTAGTTCCTTTAGGATTTTAAGATGTCTATGATAAGATTAAGATAAGATTTTTGTTTTGATACATCATAGACAGATGAAATACAATATCAATATACATTGTGCAACAACATCATTTATAGCAATATTCATAAATATGTAGGTTTCATAAATAAATAATCCAATTTACATAACATTGTATTGTCAGGCCTGGTTATGAACAATGCAATCAACAATTAAGGATGGCATCAATCAGTATGTCTGATTGACTATGTCATGTGAGAGGACATAGTCAGATCAGACACCATTCCTAAAGGAACTATATCAAAAGCTAATCTTACAAATCAATGAGACAAATACAGCAAGATCATATAGGGCCTATGTAAATCTTCCTTTCTACAATTAGAGGCCAACTAATTAACAACTGTCACTGAAGAAATTGCTGACTTGTATTGTAATTCAGATCGAGTAAATTTTAATTAATCTTACCACACGTACCCTGTTTATAGACATGCTCGTCTTCGATTCCAAAATTCAGTGTCGAAATCTGCTAAATCATTGCAGGTGTCATAAACATTTGGTGCAAAAAACTAATTAAGTTAATAACTAAAATTCAAGAAGATCTTGCAAGTGATTGACCTGGTTTTGTTGACTACCAGTCAGGTGCGTGACCCGGAAGTGAACTCTTAATTGTCACAAACTGACTACGATGCGGTATCAACATTACCTGTCAAGCGTGCACTGAATGTTCCGCAATATAACACTCCAAAATTCAATCAATCATGTCAAAGTCAGCTGACTTCTTCTGTTTTCCCCGGTAATTCCAATTACGGATCAGGCAAGAACTAGAAAACGTTTAAAGGATAGCTATCCTTTAGTTGTGTGAACTGCAAGGGCAGAAAAGTCTGTCTGAGAGAATGCATTGATAATAAAAATGTATATAATGACCAATGTGTGTCAACAATTATTTAAAATATTATTTTCATTGAAATAGAATATTCTATTTCAACATAGTGTTACTGATTTAAAAGAAACACTTATATGTTATGTAGTCTATCCGTTAATCGGTGTTCCAAGGGCAAATAACTCTAGATGCTAAAAAGTTAAAAATGAAAACATTGGCACGTGTGCTTTAGTTTTTATAATTTACATAATAAATATTAGTGTTTTATAGAACGGGTAGGGTTATTTTTACTTTCATGAATCGGGTACTCAAAACAGATTTAATTAATTTGATGGTCGTCAGCTCAATTATGCAATTGAATAGATGAAATGTTTATTACGAATATGATTATGTTAAGTTAATGTTATTTTGTCTGGCACAGAATTGTCTTTTATCAGTTTTTGTAACAGAATGATACTTAAAAAGAACGGAGTGGATATTTAACTGTATACGGCAAAGTATCTACTTCCGCTAGTATATGGCTTTCAACGCCAATGACCGTCAACCACAACCGAATGAGCAAGAAACGGCAAAGTGACCACCAACGACATACATGATGTATATGTAATAACAATCTACTGTCTGAACCTTCCTATTTTATAAACGGATTTCTTTGATTATGAACAAACTATTTAACTTTTTTTTCGATGGGATATTTAATTGTGCAATGGATTTTATTTAAACGGAGTTGATTTCAAACACACAGGTAAGTTTATAATAACCAAAGTTAAATAGTTTGTTCATAATCGAGGAAATCCGTTTATAAAATAGGAAGGTTCAGACAGTAGACAAAAATATTGTATATAATTATAAAATAGCAGGAATACATTAACAATAATACATAAAGCACTTGATGGCACAAGAATATATCTAACGTGTCCTTAGTGAATCACTAGCATGCCAATTCCTGGTGAATCACGTAAAAATCACAGCGGATTAGAGCAAAAATTCACCATGATATCTTACTAATCTTAGTGTTTTTTACCGCGGTGTTTGCGCAGTTTTGATCCATAAAATTTGAGAGGTGTACTGTACATTATAAAGTATTTTATACTCACCCTTTTTGTCGTGAATCGAGTTAACTCCACCACCATATAATTAGGCATTTTGGATTTTTTTGCTTTTATCTTAGGAAAGGTGATACTGTATCTGCTCGGAATGAAAGGCATTTTCTCTTTTGTTTTGAAATAAAATCAATGCTTTAAGCTATATACACCTTGATACTATTATAACAACCTTCAATTAGTAATTGAAATGGATATACACACTAATAAGCACTAATTTCATAGAATGTTTTCCTGCGTACATCTATGAACATGGAAAAGAAGGAAATGACAGATCTCATAAACATTCAATGAAAATTGATTTATTTTAATTAACTTGGGTCATTTAAAGTTGAATACCCAAGTAGCTACATGTATAGAAGCTGTTGACATGCAACCATCCATGATATTTTATGATCCAGAGATAATTAAATTTATTTAATGAATTCACATGTAGATTGGAGGTTTCAGGAAGATTCAAGAGGAATTGGGTGGGCAAAAGTGGTCTGTGCACTTGTTTCAGTCATATTTATTAGGGGATGTTGACTCGCTAACTTGGAGGTTGTGCGCTCAGTGCTGGTGTAGGCCATGAAATTTCATCAGGATTTTCTGACATGGTTCTCCCTTGTCACTGGTGCAGGACAGAGGGCCTGGCAATGGACAATGTATACCATACATTGTATAGTCGTTAGTACGGGACAAAAACTGAGGTCCCATGTACATATTGGTGTGCACGTAAAAGAACCCTTGACAGTTGGAATTCGATTTAAGAGTAGGCCGTAGTGCTACTGTCCGAGCAAAATTTCCCTCATAGCACACTTTTTGGCGTAAGCCCGTTTACATTAGCCCAGTCGGAGCAGAAGAGTAGGATGTTAAACCCCATTTCATTTCATTTCTCTTTATCAAACTCCAACTGGCAAGAGTTATTTTTATGTTATATGCACAGAGGCGTAAACAACCAAGTGTTCCTTTCAGATAAGATGCTGTCTATGGCTATAGTTTTTTTTAGACAAAACTGCTGTGTGGACATTTTTCAAGGCTTTTTAAATTCAACAAATTAATTGCTGTGATTTGTTTTACAGTCAAAATGAGTGAATTAATACCAATATGGAATCAGAAATTTGTCAAACCACCATTAATTTGTAACATGAAGACTGAAATAACATCAGATAATATAGGTACGTATTCTACTAGAAACGGTTTCAGATGAACAGAGGTATCAACTTGCATGATAGTCTAAAAGGCCTTTTTAACCCCCCACCCCCACCCTCCATTCTGGTGTTGTTTCAGATGGACAGATATATCAATCAACTGTTAAATGAAGGATAACTATAATTATATTCTATATTAAGTTATCAAAGTATCATAACACATGGTCCACTAACATAGTCCAGGTATTATAACTCAATGTTAAATGAAGGCTAACTATAATTATATATTCTTTATTAAGTTATCAGACGAGGTCTGCCTTTCATGGTTACATTGATAATCTTCAACATAAGGACCGAGATGCTCTCTCACTGCACGTGCGTTATACAAGTCTATTGAATATTCATGAGTCTGATACAAGTCTATTGAATATTCATGAGTCTGACATCCTCTTGCATGATCTATATCTTAACTCTTTATAATCCCCTCCCCTCCATTCTGGTGTTGTTTCCCCCGGTAACCATGCATTATTATTATTATTATTATTTCAGATAAACTAAAGAGTATAAAGCAAGTTTTAAACAAATGTTCAGTTGTATTACAAGATGATAGTGTATTATTATTTGAGATAGGAACGTTATCCAGACTCCTATATAAACGAGGTCTACAATTACGTAGAGAAAAAACTATGCAGTATTTAAAACAGGTAAGAACTATTTAGCTCATCACAAGGGACCTGTCTTCATTTGCCCGGTTTGTGCTGAATAGCAGGATGTTAAACCCTAATTCATTTTACTATGCTATTACTATAGTGGTAGCTCGGTGAGTAAGACATTGGCTCGCTAACCTGAGGGTCCCATTTTCAATCCGGTTTTCGTTGAGTTTGGATGGTACGAAAAACAGGTCCCGAGTACACATTGGCATACCCGTTAAAGAACCTTTAACTTTGGAGCTTAATACAAGAGTAATCCATAGTGCCACTGTCCAGGCCAAATTTCCCTCATAGCACACTGTATGGAGTATGGCCATCTTCATTAGCCCAATCAGAGCAGAACAGTAGGACGTTAAACCCCATTTCATTTCATTATGTCATTTCTATAGTCCTGATCAATAAGTCTTCTTAAACAAGACATTGCCATAGGGCTGGATGGTTTGGATTGTTAGTGGTTAAATAATAAATTTGGTTGTCACTAGGACATCACTATAAAACAAGATAAGGCCACAGTCCTGAATACTGGCTCTTACCAAGTCACCCAATTTTGTCACACATTTTCTGATATCACCAGAAAATTAGGTTGTTAAAGCCTATTTTCAAAGTGTGTATATATTTTGTTTCAGATTAGTAAATGTATGAAAAAATATATGGACATGAAGCTGAAGGAACACATAATAACATTTACTAAAGATTTTTCTGAGTAAGGACTATTATTATTTGTACTGGCCACTCTTTCAAAAGTTGTATTTACAGTGTAATTCATATAGTTAGTCTATACCAGTATGTAGAAAATAGAGGACTGCGTTAGTCAGTATCTTTCAAGTGGTAAGGTAGGCAGAGTGTAATGTTTCAGAAGCAATGAAAAAAACATTGATGTGCATGTGAAAGATCTGTTGACAATTGGAATCTTGAAAAATATCTAATTTTTGACCGCTTAATTCTTACTAAAATGTACTAATATTCATTATTTAACATTTAATTGAAAAACCCAAACCAAAATATGAAAGGTAGATCTTTCCTTACTTGTATTAAGTCGTATTAAAAAGAGACCTATCAAAAGATTGTATCAAACACTTATATGTGGTCAGGCAAATGTCCTGGGGAGTGTGTGTGTGGGGGGGGGGGGGAGTCTACAAGAGAGTCTAGGAGAGAACCTATACATTTAAGAGTAAATTTCCTTCAGATATGGCCTCAGATTCAAGGAAATTGACTTTAAACTTTCAAAATTATCTAGGGATAGAACCCACATACATGTACCCAACTCGAGCCCCCCCCCCCCCCCCGCCCTCCTGTTCATTTTCTGCACACGCCCCTAGTTGCGCTGGCTTCTATATCATCTGCAAAAGATGATGAATGTTGAGAAATAATGAATGGAATTGAACCTTTTTAGAATGATATTTCTTTCAACTTTCAAAATATTCTAATCCCCCAATCTGATTAAAATACAGATCTATATTTCGTTTCATTTTTTTTTATACTTTCGATGGCCTACACTACATGAAGATCTGACAAGATTTACTGCAAGGTTGTGTCAGGGCTCATATGAGCAGCTTTTGACCCTAAAACGTCAGACATTGATTAATCAATCAGCGTTGACGTTTCTAGTGGTTGACCCATGCCAAGAAGTCGCCGTAACAGACCGTTTCATTGGTTAATCCCTCACTTCAATAAAAACACTGGTAATATAACAACTCTTCCAGATCCTAATGTAGGGAAGATAAGTAAAACAAAATTTTGAACTATAAAAAACGAAACGAAATAGGATCTGTGTTTTATTCAGATTGCAAATCCCTCAAATTATGGCAGGGAGGGGGGGGGGGGGGTGGATGGCCGAATGGTTAGCACTTGTGCACTGTATCATAAGGCATGTCATTGAGTCAACTGGCGGGGTTTCGAATCCCCGGTTGTACGTGACAAGGAGTAGGGTCACATGTCCAACATCCGGGTCCTCCGGTTTCCTCCCACTGCTAAAGATCCTTACGCGCAAGCGAATTATTGATATAAAATTAAACCACATGTTAGTCCCGAATTGACCTAGTTTGTGTCGAGTGGACGTTAAACCCCATTTCTCTCTCTATCCCTCAAATGATCGATGATCAGTGACTTTGGACCAATATACTTTTCATCCATTCATCATGGTGTATACATGTATTTATATATAATGTGGAATAGTTTAAAAAGTTATATTTTAAATTACAGAAATGAGTTTAGTATGTCCTATTTTGAATTACAGAAATGAGTTTAGAATGTCCCATTTTTTATTACAGAAATGAGTTTAAAAGAGGAATATCTGTTTATCTTCCATCAAGACAGATGTTAGAACATATATTAGTTCAATATATCAGTGTAGCCATGTTATTATCTCAGACTATCAACTACTGTGTTAATGCATTTATGTATCCTTTAAAAAACATAGCATTTATTTTATCAGACGATGTTTATTCTTCAGTAGCTGACAGATGTTCTAAGATTTCATGAAATCAACAAAGTGTAACTTTAGGATTGATCGATTTGAAGTATTTATTAGACCAGTATCAGGCATTTTCCTCATGCAAATTTAACAAAAATAAGGACTGAAAAATATCCTTTAGATAGTTATATAGATTAAGCAAGTTATTCTTCAGTAGCTGACAAGACATTCTAAGACAAAAAAATGAGGTCATGAAATCCATAACAGTAAGTTGGAGTAAAACTGTTCAGTTATTTGTTTTTGACAGAAAACCTTAACAAGCTATAAGTTGGTGTAAGATGAATCTAGAACATGGTCACCTGGTACCACAGTATCTCATCTTTATCAGTGTTACTAGTAGAATATGGTGAGTATATCAGTGTTACTAGTAGAATATGGTGAGTATATCAGTGTTACTAGTAGAATATGGTGAGTATATCAGTGTTACTAGTAGAATATGGTGAGTATATCAGTGTTACTAGTAGAATATGGTGAGTATATCAGTCTTATTAGTATATACATGAGGGAGGATGATAGGTAATCTATGTAGTTAAAGTAGCTAAGTCTCTTACTCAATATCATCCAAAATCTTCAACATTGAAAACATGAATTATTTTTCAATTTAAATCAATACTGATGTTGTGATCTTACCGGGAAAAGATGTCCTTCAGATATCCAATATTTAAGACAAAATAAACATTTTACAATTGGTACACGAATCGTGTACCATAATGCGTCTCAGCGCTATGTGTAATAAGGAATCGGAAAATGAGGCTAGGCATTTCAAACGGTGATGCTATATTCTTATCTGAAATAACCAGAAGCTAGACCTAACTGATTAGAAATTACAGTAAAAACAGAAACGATTGAATGTAAATCAATTTATAAACATTCATATTACATTATTGCATGCGTTGACCCATTTGTGTCAATTTCTAGGTCCCAAATATTAGCGACTTATAGCTCCTTTAAAGTTAAAGGGCTTATCTTAGAAAAAAAACACCAAATTATTGAAATTTGTAGATGTTTATATATTTAGGACAGTATGTGAAAATATTTACATATATATTTTTAGGGCAATATTTAAATGTTTATATGTAAATGTTGTTAAATGGTATCAACAATTATTATATCTACGATTTACTCTACAACCAACACAAGTAGAATGGGTATGTACATTAAATATATCATTATAAGACATTATATAACATGTACAGGATCCAGAGGTCGCAGTCATGCAAAAATCCGCGTAATTCACGCATTTTTTTCAAAATAAACGCAAATATTGACGAACGCTGCGTAATTTACACGCAGAAAATTTCCCCGACGTGAGAATAATTAGATTATTTTATGTCGTAGTTTGTACAATTTATGTGCTTCACCCAGCATTTACACACCTCTACTGTACGTAGTCTCCATAGTTTTTTATATTTCCTCTTATTTCATTCTTAAGTTCATGGCAGTAAGCCTACGTAGCTATTCTATTGGAAGCAATAAAGTGCATTTCATACAAGACTTGGGATTGGCTAGAACAAGATATACTGTTTACATTCAGCCAATCAAATGTTGGCTTTCATAGCAATAGTTTTCTCTTTACGTCCTGTCGAAGTGAAAGATTGAAATGATTGTGCCGTCAACCATAGACATGCCGTTAACCTCCAGTCGTCATTAGACTAAATACATAGGCATATCAATGAAATAAGGACGCTTAAAATAGGGTAGTTCACAAAACGACTTTACATGCTTCTATATTGAGTATTTTGAGAGGCTCTTCACGCAGATGTAAAGTGCAAAAAGCGCAAAATTTTGGAATGTCTGCGTATTTTTACGCAACTCGAAATTGATCCACTGCGACCTCTGACTGGACCCTGCATCTATATACCATTACCAGACACTGTATCATTTCAGAACACCATTTGTCATTTCAGTTCACTATATACAGGACCCAAATGTACCATCAGTGGACACTATGTATTATATATCAATACGTCATTACAATACATGACCCTATATATCATTACAGTACCAAGCACAATTACAGGACCAAATATATCATTATATGATCCCAATATACCATTACAAACTATGTACCATTACAGGACCCTATTGGCCTATACCATTACTGGACCATCATTACAAGAGACCATGTGTCATTTCATTATGTCATTTTACATGTATATATCATTACATGAGAGCATGTATCATTTCAGGACCCCAGTTGTCTTTGCAGGACCATATATCATTACAGGACCCTATATATCATTACAGAACCTTGTATCATTACAGCACCTTATATATCTTTATAGGAGATCATGTAGAATGACAGGACCTTGTATTTCATTATAGGACACTGTATGTCTTTACAGGAGACCAAATAACATTTCAGGACTCTATATATCATTACATGACCATATATCACTACTATATATCATTACAGGACCCTATATAAAATGTATCTTTACAGAACCATGTATCATTGTACAGGACCTTATATGTCTTTACAGGAGACCATGTAGAATGACAGGACCCGGTATGTCATTACAGAACCCTATATGTCAATACAAGACCACATATCACTACTTTAATCATTACATGACATTATATATGAGGAGGGATGTAAAAAACAACTGTGTGAATTGTATAAATTTAACATTCTGTATTACAGTTGTCTCCTACAGATGTTCTATCAAAAGATTTGGATGTTTTTGTAAAAAGTCAGATAACCCCAGTTTTACAACCAAACAGGTAACATGATAATCTTGTTATGTCATTTAGTAACTGGTATATCACACAACCTAATTTAAAAAATCAGGACTAGTGGTATACCGTGTCTCATGTTTTTCTTTTCTTGTGTGAGGTGTGCTCTTCCTGCAGTCACCAGCTAACCTTGATCATTATTTAATTTCAGTAAGAAAGATGAAACCAAGATGGACATTATGATGAAGAAATATTTCAATCAAAATCTGGATGATAATAAGGAAAAAAATCCGGACAGGGAAAATCCAGAAATGTCAGAAGAATTTGTCGGGGATAAAGAAGGGGATGTGATGATGGAGGAGGAATTTGAGGAAGAAATTGCGGACAATGTAATTGTTGAAGATATGGGAGGTTGGTTGTTATTGTTGTCAGTCATACAGGAGCAAAGCCCAGCTTAACCGAAGCGGGGCCCTGGGCCTGACTAGAATCGCGGGGCCCCTAACGCGACGAAAAAAATATTTTATATCTTTTTGAATGGCACGCATGCGTAACACTTCATTAAACGATCTGTAATACAAAAATAATTACATAAAGACTAATCAAACCATATAATAGTTGGATCCTCTGTTAACGACTAGCCGGTGTTCCTTGGCAGGCCCTCCATCCTGCACCACCGACAAGGGAAACCAGACTTAAAAATCCTGAGCTACATTCAGGGCTGCCTGGTTATCAAACATATACTCACCGAGCCCCTGTGGCTTTCCAAGATGAATTTCAAACAGAGCTCAGAGAAAAGGAGTATTAGGTGTTCCAAAAAGAGCACGATGACACAACCAGCTCGAAAGCATAGTATGCAGGGCAAGATTTACCAATAGGCATTGTAGGCCATTGGCCTAGGGAGCATAGGTACTAGGGGGCGCACTCAAATTGATTTGTCGGTCCGCGTGCCAGCCTATTACTTTTTTTCAAATGTTTCTATAAATGGTCTCGGGGCCCACCAGTCGGTTAATAATATATTGATGTCCAATACGTCCGAAATTGTTACTCCAGGGTTCTTGCACTTCTTTTATTCCATTTTCATATTTTTTCCTATTTTTCACTTTTTTATTTTTAGAACCAGTTTCAAGACAAAGGGTCAAGAATTCCTCGAAGATCAAAGAAAAAAAAAGGAAGAGGAAAAAAGAATTGTCAGTCTCAGAAAATCCAGAAACGGATGTTTGCACTGCGAACATAGAAAAATCTCAGGATGTTTCCAATTCCAGCGTGATTGACAAAAGTTCTGTTAAACAGTGTAAAAGTTTCAATGATTTGATTAAGATATTAAACACATGCTCTGATGCCATAATTCCAAATAAACATAAAAAATGTCTGAGAGTTGTGAAACACCTCAAATCTCAGTATCTCAAATCAAAACGAAAGAGAGACAACTCTCACAAAATTAAAAAAATACTGTTAAAAGAAGCTAAACAAAATGTGAAAGTTTTTGTTACAAAATACAGAGTCGTACAAAAGAAAAAGTTAAAGAGGACTAAAATTTCTAAAAGAGTAAATGAAAATTCAGATGTGGAGAGTTATGGAGAATCGTCACAAGTGAGTGAAGATTCGTTCGTCGAAAATAATATCCAGGAAAATGTACAAACTGAAAATCGGGCATTAAAAGTGTCTACTCCAAATAATCCAAAACTCAAAATCCATGATTTTGAAAGCTTAAAAAACATAATAGATGAAGTTGAACAAAATTCTGAGTTAGTTTTACAAAGGACAAGAATTGCTCTGACTAAAAAACAGCGGAGACTAACTCTTAAAAAACTTAAATTTTGTCAACAGAAATGTGAAAGTGGTTCATTTAAGACAAGAAAAAAGGAGGCGTTTTTATTAAAAGCTAGCAGGGATGTTGAAGTGGTTCTACAATTAATAAAAAATCAATAAAAAAAACACATCTTAATCTCTTTAGATATTTTTTGGGGTGGGGGGGGGGGGGGGGGCGCGTATCGGAGATGGAGATGAAATGGCGTTGTTTTAACTTCCTACTGATCTGCTCCTTCTAAGCTAATGAAGACGGACATACACCAAACAGTGTGCTACATGTATGTGGGAAATTTGGCCTGGACAGCGGCACTACGGCCTACTCTTATATCTAATTTCAACTGCCAAGGGATATTTTACATGCACGCCAATGTGTACACAGGACCTTGGTTATTCGTCCGATCTCAACGACTAGACAGGTGGTCAAGTGGTCTGACACTTTAGATCATGGGGTCTGTCATTGAGTCAGGCGGCATGAGTTAGTAGCCTGCATCACTTCTACACAATTGACATTATTCAGGAACATGTCACTTAACACCTTATCAGATTATGACCGACGGATGGTCAACACTGACACAGGAAACGGCCACGTAGAAGTCACTAGTTACTACCCCTGGCCTAATTTTTTATGCAATATAGGCAGCTGCATAATCTCTTCCGTCATCCTTTGTCTAGAATGGGTTTATAAGCAGGAATGAAAGGGAAAGTTGGCACCCAAGGATGTCAAGCCGAACTAGGACCATGGCTCCCTCAACACAAGTTAACTACGGAGTCTTAAGTTTTGTACATGATATGTTTAAAGAACAATAAAAGTATCATATAAAATTAAACCAGTGTTGTCATCAAGAACCTGACATAAAGACACAATACTGTAACATAACCTTGTTGGGTTTATAAGGTCTTCTGGTTTCCTTCCACTGCTAAAGACACCTGTGCGCAAGCAAATTATCAATAAGATAATTACTATGTGTTATTCGTGAAATGACCTAATTTGACACTTTTTTTCCAATCATATCCCATCTCTACCAACGTCAATTCCCTAGCATGTTACCCATCTGAACTATGTAAAATCCCTGGCTCCTTACTCCATCTAAACATAACACGAATTCCCTGACACTTTACCCCATCTAAAACGCAATATCAAATCTCTGGCACTTTACCCCATTTAAAACACAATACCAATTCCCTGACACTTTATCCGATCTTGCATGGCGATCTTTGTCCACTTTTTTGTATATAATTGGATATACATTTTATGCCAGGATTTGATGAATATGACGTGATTTTTATGCCAAAGGGTCAGGAAGTAAACAGACACGAATTGCCGAAATCACCTTCTAAAATGATGCCACAGTCTAAAATATTGAGGTCAACCCCCTTCAATATATCCATGAGATGAGTGTACCCCATCGACTCTTTGTGGAACAAGATCATCAGAATGTTCCTGAAATTACATATATTTACTGCAATTCAAAAAAGTCAATGGAGACAGGATTAGTAGTCTGTATCCAGTAAAGAACGGATTTAACAGGAGTTATTTCCCTTGTATCGTATTCGCCTTTCGGGCTCTGTTGCAATCTGTTTCCCATAGGTATTGCAAAAAGTCTTCTTATATCTCTGTAAAAGATGACTGTTTTTAAATGTGATGTCACATCACAGGGCGTCAATCATTGGCACGGGTATCATAAGACGTTACTGATTCGGGCAGCCTTTATTCGTTTTATACACCCTTACACTAAATAGGAAATACTTTTTACCGACATATACTTCAAATGTCTTTATTTATTTTTCTAATACTTAAAAAAAAATATTTTAGAATTTAATTTGTCGCAGGAAAAACGTTAAACATACATTATGCAAGAGCTAAATCTGCCTATTGCAAATCTTTATTTAGGCTTCAGATGTTATATAAATTATTAATTAGACCTTTATTTACACGACAAGCTCAAAATCAACTCTGTAGACCCACGGATGGCTTGGATACAGTTTGGATGTAAACAGTCGTCCATTTAAAATTAAATCAATAAAAGGTAGACCAAGCTAACGTTTACCGTTAGTCACTGACGTCACTACCGGAACTGGTGATGAAAGGCCTACCAAGCGGGGGTACCATAGCCATAGAGAATGTTACTTGATAATCCAGAATATGTGGGTGGAGTTATCATCTGTCAATCAAACGATCGGCAATTCTCGTAGACGATGCGAACACAGTTGATGCCCATTTCTAGTCGAAACTTCCAACAGTGACAACTCCGTTCAGCATAAAGTTATTTTACTGAAATTTTCAATATTTTTTTTTTTTATCATCTATTTTTGAATTATTATATCAAGAATAGCCAACTATTTATTGAACTCTTAACTAATGTATCTTTAAATTACAATATAAAATGTCAGTTATCCGAAAAGAAATGCGGTTATAATGAAAAGGGACATATTGCCCTGGCAGCGACAGCGGCACTACGGCCTACTCTTAATTATAATTCCTACCGTCGAGGGTTCTTTTACGTGCACGCCTATGTGCACACATGACTAGACATTCTTCCTTGTCAAGCCCACTGTCCTGCACAATTGACAAGAGGGAAACCACGGAGGAAAATTCAGAGGATCTTTCCCGGTCAACACACGGAGCTAACCTGAGACCCCCTGCTTAGCGAACCATTCAGGAGCTAAATTTCAGTGCATGCAATAGACGCCATCTTTGGTAAATTATATACTCTCCCTGTCCATTTAATTGCAAGAACAGTTTCTGAAAGCCAGGGTATGTCGCTAAAAGAACGAACGTGAGGTACATGCACCGATTTACCCCAGCAAGAAAACAGAATTTGTGTTCTATAGATTGAAATACAATGATAAGAGAAAATTGACGAGAATCGAAGTAGATGAAGTCTTTTAAAGGACGCATTCGTGTGTTGTTCGTAAATTATTTGAAGAAAATAAAACTCAAATCAACTGAGAGGGATATAATAGGCCTGGAATTAAACACGTTTTTATGACGCATTCTCTCCACCGCTCCACAAATGATCTTAACGTTTTCTTTATGTATAGCCTATTCACCGGAAGATGAATTCATTACAACCGGAAGTGAAACGATTCGAATGCATGCACGTGTTACCATGACAGTGAAATACTTTTCAAGCTAAACTAACCAATACTGTGGTAATCCTCTCCAATGCTTTACGCTACTTTAAATTTTAATAAACAGTGTAGTGATACAATGGAGAGAAATTAAATCAATGCAGGGTTGAATATGCGCTGGGGTTATATAATTATTGCTGACTCAGTATGCATGGAGCTGGCTAACTAACCAGGACGTCCCGAGATTCTCCAGTCTGGCTTTCCTTTGTCAGTTAGTTGTTAGGGTGGAACGAAAAACCGAGGATCCGTGTACACATTTGGCTATACACGTAAAGAATCCCTGACAGTTGGAATTCGATTTAGGAGTAAGCTTAAGCCTTAGTGCCAATCTGGTTAAAACACAGATCCTGTTTCGTTTCGTTTTTATAGTACAAAATTTCGTTTTACTTGTCTTTACTACACTTGGATCTGGAAGAGTTGTTATTTAACTCGTGTTCTGAATGGTGTCAGGGATAAGCCAATGAAACGGTCTGTTACGGCGAGCTTTAGGCGTGTTTTGCACGGAACTGTGGGTAATCCACTAGTAACATCAATGCAGATTGGTTAATCAAATGTCTGACATCATAGGATCATAAGTCGGTCTTTTGACCCCTGACGTGACCTATCGCTATAACTTGTCAGATCTTCATACGTAGGCCATCGAAAGTATAAAAAAACGAAACGAAATATAGATCTGTATTTTAATCAGATTGGCCTTAGTGCTATTGTTCGGGCAAAACTTCCCTCATAGTTTCCTGTGCAGAACAGGAATAAGACGTTAACCCCCCCACCCCCCCATTTCATTTCCTTGGTCAGGGAGACAGATAGCCTCATACTAAACTTTGGCTGTCTGTCTACAGTTAGCTCCTCTTGAGAACAGACACTAAACAAGTTGACCGGCATTTTTAAGTCCTAAATCGACGATTTTGAGAAGTATTTATTTTATTCCGCATCCATTCAATAGAATTGAAAAATGTTTATTTGTTCTTTGTGAGTATGACAGATGCCAAACGGAGTAGAACCGCATTACAAAATAGTATAGTAATTTTTGGATATGGCGTAATGGCGGCCAATCAGGACAGAGATCTATTCTCGACAGAAGTAGATGGATGTCTTGGTGCAGAATGGGAGGACCTTGCAAGGTAGACCGTTGTACACATTTGGCGTGCAGGTAAAAGAACACACCGAGGAAGGGAAGGGGCGGACACGTTGCAAGGTACACCTTAGACCTATAGGTCTTGGGTGTAGCCTACACATTTGACGTGCAGGTAAAAGAACACACCGAGGCAGGGAACGGGCGGACACGTCGCAGTCTGGTAAAGTTTCCCTAACACACTGCGTGGCGTATGTCCGTCTTCGGAAATGTTGGACGTTAAACCCCATATATTCTATAGCGTCACGCGGGATTTCCATGCGTGGTTTCCCCTTGTCAGTGGCGCAGGGCGGTCCTGAATGGAGGGCCTGTCTAGTCGTTCGGATGGGACAAAAAACCGAGATCCCGTGTACACATTGGCGTGCACGCAAAAGATAACTTGGCACTTTGAAATTCGATATAAGAATGGGCCGTAGTGCTGTTGTCTGGGCAAAATTTCTCTCATAGCACACTGTATGGTGTATGCTCGTCTTTATTAGTCCAGTTCGGAGCAGAACAGTAGGACGTTAAACCCCATTTCATTTCATTTCTTATTTCATAACCATATCCCCGTCTTTATTAGCCCAGTTCGGAACAAAACAGTAGGAAGTTAAACCCCATTTCACTTTATTTCATATGAAGAAGAACAATAAGAAGTGGATTACTGGGTGCGTGGAATCAGTTTCTGGTTTCAAATTCAGGAGAGTAGGCCAGTTCTTTATCAGACGAAGCATTAGTCAAACGATAATAATAGAGGGTTACTTGTCAGTTAAATACTCCATTATCCATTGTCCCTTCCTGCAAATAGATATCCATAATTTATTACCGATTGATTCTAATGACGTGTCCACTGGTTAAATTGGATAAATATAAATGACTACATCC